TTTTAATTTAACGCCAAATGTGATTCTGTTCATGTAATGTTTAAAGATGGAGTCATCAATATTCCAAGGTACTTATAACCTGAAGTAACTTGTACAATTTCATAACGATAATGCCATTTCTCACATTTCTTTGAGAATTCCACCTTTACGAAAAAGAATTATTTGTGTTTGCGAAAGGCTGACATTTAGTTTTCATGGTGGACACTAGACGTTTAGACTATTCAGTGCTCTCGTAGCCCATTTACTCGGATCAGAACTAGAAATGACATTGTTAGCAAACATAAGTAGTAATACAGTGTAGTTCATGTAAATCAGGAATGAATGTATTCCTTTATGGCGCGTTAAACTGCAGCTGTTCAGATTAATGTCACGTTAACCCGACTCCCTACAGATGATTATCTCGAACCCCTGACGCGTTCATCACCACCTTAGATACCATGGCACTTTTAGATTTATCCCTATACGTGCCTTTACCTCTTCAGATAGATCTCATGTTATTCCGATCTCTTCAGATAGATCTCATGTTATTCCGATCTCTTCAGATAGATCTCATGTTAGACTAGTCTCTTCAGATAGATCTCATGTTAGACCAGTCTCTTCAGATAGATCTCATGTTAGACCAGTCTCTTCAGATAGATCTCATGTTAGACCAGTCTCTTCAGATAGATCTCATGTTAGACCAGTCTCTTCAGATAGATCTCATGTTATTCCGATCTCTTCAGATAGATCTCATGTTAGACCAGTCTCTTCAGATAGATCTCATGTTATTCCGATCTCTTCAGATAGATCTCATGTTAGACTAGTCTCTTCAGATAGATCTCATGTTAGACCAGTCTCTTCAGATAGATCTCATGTTAGACCAGTCTCTTCAGATAGATCTCATGTTAGACCAGTCTCTTCAGATAGATCTCATGTTAGACCAGTCTCTTCAGATAGATCTCATGTTAGACCAGTCTCTTCAGATAGATCTCATGTTATTCCGATCTCTTCAGATAGATCTCATGTTAGACCAGTCTCTTCAGATAGATCTCATGTTAGACCAGTCTCTTCAGATAGATCTCATGTTAGACCAGTCTCTTCAGATAGATCTCATGTTAGACCAGTCTCTTCAGATAGATCTCATGTTAGACCAGTCTCTTCAGATGGATCTCATGTTAAACCGGGACGGTAGCCTAATGGTGAAAGCTTTCGCTCGTCACGCAGAAGGCCCGGGTTCGATTCCCAACATGGGAACAGTGTGTGAAGCCCATTTCTGGTGTCCTCCGCCCCGATATTGCTGGAATATTGCTAAAAGCGGCGTAAAACCAAACTCACTCACTCACTCATGTTACACTATGTTACACCAGTCTCTTCAGATAAATGTCATGTTAAACCCATCCCCTCATTTAAATACTTCGTTAACCCGACCTTTCAGATTACCGATTACGTGTTAACCCGTCGGAATAAAGAAAACCAACCCAACAAACCCCCAGTAAACTTCACACTCACTCACTCAGGTTAGAAAAAGCCAACCATGCTTAGAGAAGAACGAACCAGCAAACCGAAGGGTTCACTTCACTGACAATGTTTAGAGTTCACATGAATAGAAATGAACTTAATTTCTTCGTGATGATAAAAACAAACTACTGTCCACAGTGAATGTAGAACTTTATTGACATATTGTAAAACGTCGTGCACGTGAACGTTCTAGCAGCACCATACAGGTAGTTACTAATGTCATGTGTGTAGATAGACAACCAGTTACTAATCTCATGTGTGTACAGGTAGTCGATTAGTTACTAATGTCATGTGTGTAATGGCAGACAACCAGTTACTAATGTCATATGTGTACAGATAGACAACCAGTTACTAATGTCATGTGTGTACAGGTAGACAACCAGTTACTAATGTCATGTGTGTACAGGTAGACAACCAGTTACTAATGTCATGTGTGTACAGGTAGACAACCAGTTACTAATGTCATGTATGTACAGATAGACAACAAGTTACTAATGTCATGTGTGTACAGATAGACAACCAGTTACTAATGTCATGTGTGTACAGGTAGACGACTAGATACTAATGTCATGTGTGTACAGGTAGACAACCAGTTACTAATGTCATGTGTGTACAGGTAGACAACTAGATACTAATGTCATGTGTGTACAGATAGACAACCAGTTACTAATGTCATGTGTGTACAGGTAGATAGCTAGTTACTGATGTCATGTGTGTACAGGTAGTCGACTAGTTACTAATGTCATGTGTGTACAGGTAGACGACTACTTACTAATGTCATGTTTGTACAGGTAGTCTACTAGTTACGAATGTCATGTATGTACAGGTAGTCGACTAGTTACTAATGTCATGTGTGTACAGGTAGACGACTAGTTACTAAAGTCATGTGTGTAATGGTAGACAACCAGTTACTAATGTCATGTGTGTACAGATAGACAACCAGTTACTAATGTCATGTGTGTACAGATAGACAACCAGTTACTAATGTCATGTGTGTACAGGTAGACGACTAGTTACTAATGTCATGTGTGTACAGGTAGATAGCTAGTTACTGATGTCATGTGTGTACAGGTAGACAACCAGTTACTAATGTCATGTGTGTACAGGTAGTCGACTAGTTACTAATGTCATGTGTTGTACAGGTAGACGACCAGTTACTAATGTCATGTGTGTACAGATAGACAACTAGTTACTAATGTCATGTGTGTACAGGTAGTCGACTAGTTACTAATGTCATGTGTGTACAGGTAGTCGACTAGTTACTAATGTCATGTGTGTACAGGTAGACAACCAGTTACTAATGTCATGTGTGTACAGGTAGTCGACTAGTTACTAATGTCATGTGTGTACAGGTAGACAACCAGTTACTAATGTCATGTGTGTACAGGTAGTCGACTAGTTACTGATGTCATGTGTGTACAGGTAGACCACTAGTTACTAATGTCATGTGTGTACAGGTAGTCGACTAGTTACTAATGTCATGTGTATAGGTAGTCGACTAGTTACTAATGTCATGTGTGTACAGATAGACAACCAGTTACTAATGTCATGTGTGTACAGGTAGTCGACTAGTTACGAATGTCATGTGTGTACAGGTAGTCGACTAGTTACTAATGTCATGTGTGTACAGGTAGACAACCAGTTACTCTTGAGTGTACAGGTAGACAACCAGTTACTAATGTCATGCTTGTAAACCTAGATGACTAGTTACTAATGTCATGTTTGTACAGGTAGACGACTACATCAGTAACTGTACAGGTAGACTACATCAGTAACTGTACAGGTAGACCAATACAACAGTAACTGTACAGGTGGACCACTACAACAGTAAATGTACAGATAGACGACTACATCAGTAACTGTACAGGTAGATTACACCATTAACTGTACAGGTAGACGACTACATCAGTTACTATACAGGTAGACGACTACATCAGTAACCGAACAGATAGACGACTACATCAGTGACTGTACAGGTGGACGACTACATCAGTAACTGTACAGGTAGACGACAACATCAGTGACTGTACAGGTAGACCACTACATCAGTGACTGTACAGGTAGACGACTATATCAGTAACTGTACAGGTAGACGACTACATCAGCAACTGTACAGGTAGACGACTACAACAGTGACTGCACAGGTAGACGACTACATCAGTAACTGTACAGGTAGACGACTACAACAGTAACTGTACAGGTAGACGACTACATCATCATGTAACTGTACAGGTAGACGACTACAACAGTAACTGTACAGGTAGACGACGACATCCAAAACTGTACAGGTAGACGAGTACATCAGTAACTGTACAGGTAGACGACTACATCAGTAACTGTACAGGTAGACGACTACATCAGTAACTGTACAGGTGGACGACGGCATCCAAAACTGTACAGGTAGACGAGTACATCAGTAACTGTACAGGTAGACGACTACATCAGTAACTGTACAGGTAGACGACTACAACAGTAACTGTACAGGTAGACGACTACATCAGTGACTGTACAGGTTGACGACTACATCAGTAACTGTACAGGTAGACGACAACATCAGTGACTGTACAGGTAGACCACTACATCAGTAACTGTACAGGTAGACGACGACATCAAAAACTGTACAGGTAGACGAGTACATCAGTAACTGTACAGGTAGACGACTACATCAGTAACCGAACAGATAGACGACTACATCAGTGACTGTACAGGTGGACGACTACATCAGTAACTGTACAGGTAGACGACAACATCAGTGACTGTACAGGTAGACCACTACATCAGTAACTGTACAGGTAGACGACTATATCAGTAACTGTACAGGTAGACGACTACATCAGTAACTGTACAGGTAGACGACTACATCAGTGACTGTACAGGTAGACGACTACATCAGTAACTGTACAGGTAGACGACTACAACAGTAACTGTACAGGTAGACGACTACATCAGTAACTGTACAGGTAGACGACTACAACAGTAACTGTACAGGTAGACGACTACATCAGTAACTGTACAGGTAGACGACTACATCAGTAACTGTACAGGTAGACGACTACATCAGTAACTGTACAGGTAGACGACTACATCAGTAACTGTACAGGTGGACGACGGCATCAGTAACTGTACAGGTAGACGACTACATCAGTAACTGTACAGGTAGACGACTACATCAGTAACTGTACAGGTAGACGACTACAACAGTAACTGTACAGGTAGACGACTACATCAGTAACTGTACAGGTAGACGACTACATCAGTAACTGTACAGGTAGACGACAACATCAGTGACTGTACAGGTAGACCACTACATCAGTAACTGTACAGGTAGACGACGACATCAAAAACTGTACAGGTAGACGAGTACATCAGTAACTGTACAGGTAGACGACTACATCAGTAACTGTACAGGTAGACTACATCCAAAACTGTACAGGTAGACGACTACATCAGTAACTGTACAGGTAGACGACTACATCAGTTACTGTACAGGTAGACCACTACATCAGTAACTGTACAGGTAGACGACTACATCAGTAACTGTACAGGTAGACAACTACAGTAACAGCACACACTGACGAGTCCATGATAAGCTCTACTGAGAGACTACTGGTTAGTTTATCATGGTTGACATTGTATAGAAAGCAGTTTGTTGAGAAGCATGGCGGTCACAATGACCTTGCGATAGTTACAGCTCAATACCTCCGCATGTAACTCATCACCTCCCAGCCCCTGGCGTGAGTCTGCCCAGTACAGGATTGCCTACAGATAGCAATAAACCTCGTTCCACAGACACATCTTCAGCTTCAGGATACATGGAGCGTTCAATTTGGACGGTCTAGTGGGCTACAGAGTTCCCTAACCTTCCAAACGCGTCATCATACAATAGTAGCGATTAGGCAACTGGAGGGTACTTGACACTGAAGCTTGCTGCGGTTATCGCCAAACAAAGGTTCCCTGTAGTTCAAGCACACGCAATATAGTTTAGTTAAAATCGAGGCATGATGTTCCACGGCAGTGGCATGGCTGTCAGTTGACTTCAGCTTCCTTCATCGTAGGCTGTATCTTCGACACGTACCACAGAGAGTTTCTAGTCATGACGTCACGCATCGTCATGGCACGTGCAAATCGCACGAGCTGGGTTCGTTCAGAGGGCTGATGGGGACACGTCTCCTGAAACACAGTACAGTACAATTATCTACATCACATTTCAAGAAGTCGACGAAGCGCCAGTAAAATATCCCGTTTTGTCGGCCCTCGTCCAAGACAATTGAATTCAACGTGGAATATAGCCTTCAAGCACACTAACGCCTGAGGCAATTCAACCACGATTCTCCAGTCTATTATATATACATTAAATGATACCGCATTAGCATGATAGGACAGAGATATGGCAGTGGATGCACTCTTGGCTGAGATTTGGACAGATAGAAGCAAGACCGGACATCGCAGGGCAGAATGTATTAGCGACAAGTGTCACCTACTTTATGAATACACTCATAGGCGTGGTCAGGAGTAAGTTCAACAATGCAACAATTTGGCCGATTCTTTTCAGCAAGTCGTATTTTCTGTGTAATTCCACGAAATTATCATATGACTTGTAGTACTGAAACATTCGGGATGGCATATTGACATTATGTTTCCGTTTCGGGCCTGGATGTAAATCTGTAACCTGGGAACAGACCTATATTCCAGTATAGTTGAGCTAACACGGTGTAACACACCTGTATGTCACAGTCACGTGATCAGCTCACCTCATCAGGCGGCACAGGTGTTCCTCCAGTCGGACTTTGGCTTCCGGTACGTCCCTGACGCTGCGATCACTCCAGAGCCGCTCTGCCATAGCGCTCACACGGAACCTGCGTCACATGACACATGTAAACGATGAAGACAGATGTGGTTGGAAACATCAGCGTCATCTGCATTCTCAAAGTGGTTGTCAGAAGTGATTCTAAGGAAATCTGTTTTCAAAGCATCCTATGTTTGTACCAAGAGTGAGTGAGTTTAGTTTTACGCTGCACTCAGCAATATTCCAGCTATATGACGGCGGTCTGTAAATAATCGAGCCTGGACCAGACAATCCAGTGATCAACTTGTACCAAGAGCCGACATAAGATCAAACTCATTGATTTCCGGGATAGTATTCACTACATCCTAGGTTTATTACCGTCCGGCGCCATAAAGTTGAACATTGCTGACTGTGGCGTTACATAACATTCACCTAAGCACTAATTAGTCTCGATATAAACATTCAATCAATACTATATGTCTGCTACAGTTGCACAGCCTCACTCACTCACTAACTCACTGACGCTCACACAGCAACCTATCCGTCAACTCACTCATTCACACAGTAATGTTTACATTTGTACTAAACGTCAAGGGTACATTTTACATTTTACGGATACTAGGAGGTTGGAGAGGCTGCACCGTACAGAGGGGCCACTCTCAGATAACCATATAACCTGGCCACGTCCACATTCACCGTTCGTATGAGCTGCCAGTGCCTGTGTTACATTCTGAGGTGCTTGTCAACGTTTAAACGTTTCTCAGACTATAATCTTCCACAACGACACAAGACGCAATATATCATGATATATAGTCCAGCACCTCATTCCCATGTCATATCTGGTCACCCAAAATTTAAATGTGACGTCCACATATCACTGGATTGTATGGTCCAGGCTCAATTATTTTCATACAGCTGGAATATTGTTGAGTGCGGCGTTATAGAACAAACAAACAAAAACAAACCTCATGTCACATTCTATACTAGGCACATAAAGAAACTGTGCATACAAAAAATTAAAATATACATTTATCAAACCTGTGTAGAAACATAAGGATTTAAACTCAGAGATTAGAGACATGTATCCAACATGCATGCACGTGCCACGTTCCGTGACGTCAGTGGGTTCGTCCTTGAGACGTGAAATACGTTGTTGCACGTGCATTCCGGGAAAGAGAAACAGAGCAAATGAATGCCACACAATACTGTCACTTTGGAAAGCTTTAACCCCTGCCCTTGCGATCGTTCAAAAAATTAAACGGCTATTGAAACGCATAGTGTGCCAAGGCTCACGTCTGCACAACGCCATGAGGCCATTGGGATGGTCTGTGGGGGAATGTCTCAACGACAAGTGGCTGCACATTTCCACTGCCACGGGAACACCATTTCTGCACTGGTGAGACGCTACCAGAACACAAATGACGTCATCGATCGGCCACGTTCTGGACGTCCATGTGTAACAACGCCAAGACAGGACAGATGGAAAGGGTGACCCATCTTCGCCACAGGTTTCAGACTGCAGTGATGACTGCCCGAACCATCCCAGGACTTCGCCGTATCCATCCCAACACAGTTCGACAACGTTTACGTCATCACGGGATCAGACCACGACGTCCCGCCATACGGCCTATCCTGACACAAGGTCATCGACAAGCTCGCCGAATGTGGTGCCGAAATCATGTCCGCAGACCCTTGTTTTGGTGGAGAAATGTTGTTTTTACAGATGAGTCCAGGTTTAACATTTCCCATAGTGATGGACGTCAAGGTGCCTATAGACGCGTGGGAGAACGTTATGCACAGGCCTGTGTCTGGGAGAGGAATCGCTTTGGTGGTGGTTCCGTGATGATTTGGGGTGGAATAACAGCACGCCAAAGAACTCCGGATCCTTTGGTGATTGTTCAGGGCAACTTAACTGGTGTGGGCTACAGGGATCAGATTCTTCGACCTGTGGCAATTCCTTTTCTGCAACGTCATGGCCCTGGGTTAACATTCCAACAGGACAATGCCCGCCCTCATACGGCAAGGGTTGCTATGGATTTCTTGTAACACCACAACGTTGACTTACTGCCTTGGCCTGCAAATTCACCGGATCTGTCCCCGATAGAGCATGTTTGGGACGAGATGGATCGACGTCTACGCCGTCTTCCTCATCCGCCAGATAACGTCCTTGACCTTGCAACAGAACTTGAGAGAATCTTGCGTGACATCCCACAAGCCGTCCTTGCACGTTTGATAGGCTATATATGCGGCGTCGATGCACTGCTGTTCTCAATGCCGATGGTGGACATACCCGTTATTGAGCTTGTGACATGGTCGTTTGACCCCTGTCCCGCTTGTGGACTCGTGACGTCATTGTGATTGACTTTTCAATTGAAATTCTCCCGACTTGTTATGGTCTCATGATCCCTCCATTAAAGTTTATATGTACCTTTGACATTGATATCGTACTTATCAACTGGGTTAATATTTTGACAATGCACAGTTTCTTTATGTGGCTAGTATACATTGTCAAACCATATTTCCAGATCCTAATGGGACAAGCCCATACGGTGAACCTGTCCATCTTACGCACCCCAGCTCGAACTATGGCGGCGGGGGAACTCACCACAGTGACTGTTGAAGGTTGGAGTCCACTAGGTGTTCCCCTGAGACGCAGGCCTCCCCGCCAACCACCATCTCCCTCTCGGTGGCTGCAACTACAACAGCAATTATCAGAATACACAAGTGTCTAGAAGTAGCCGACTATAAACATGCAATCTGGGACACCTGGCAATATATACTAATCTATTATATATACATGTGAGTCATTAGGTAATATAAACACACACACACGTGCGCGCGCGTGCGTGTGTATATATATATATATATATATATATACATATATATGTAACATGTGTGTCTCTACACTTGTAATCTGGGGCACCCGAATATACACACCATTATTGATGGATGGATGGGAGGACGGATGGACGGACGGATGGACGGACGGAAAGATGGATGAATTGATGAATAGATAGATCCGTCTTTCTCCCCCGCCGCCCACCCCCCTCTATAAACCTGTAATATGTGGCAGAAGGGAATCGCGATTTTCGTCTTCTATGTCTTATGTGATTTCAGTCAAGATAGCGAATATCTGGACAGACAACCAGTGTCCTTATACCAATGACCCAGACAGCATGTACAGGCATCGTTGACAAGTCCATGTCATATCGCGGAAGATACACGGAACTCCGGAATATTCGGTACTGTGTTTTTTTTTAGACAAATGTGAAATACGTCAGAAGGAAATGTTTTCGTTTTTATTTTAGAATTTCGGTAACATATAGTTGTATTTCACAACATATAGTCACGTCAAAATATCAACTTCAGCTATAAATCCAAATAAATTAGTATGTTTAGGCGCTACTCGCCCACGTACAACCGACAAACGGCGCACATGTTGCACACAATGGAAAGAACGTGGATGTCAGTTTCTACCACTGCTCCTGCCCCTCTGCTCCACAAACAACGCCCCTGTAGATAAAGACCCGTTGTTCGCAATAACTGAATTCCTGCTGAAGATAGCAACATCCGGCCATGGAGGACCGCCACGGGAGTTCAGCTGGTATGATTAACTCTGATATGTCGACAACATCTGCTAAAGAAATAAATAAGCATGTAATGTTACCAAAATAACTTTTTTTATCCTTCGCGATGGTTGGTGGATGTATCAATGCGCGGTGGTAAGGCTGTCTGACCCGACATGCAATGGGTCACGCACCACAGATGATGCTGGAAGTTCAAGAAGTGTAGATTCCTGGTTGCAGGGCTAGTGGACCCTCTCTGATAAACTGGCTTGCATTCATTGTGTAAACAATACGTCTTGTTTCCAATTAGTGTTTCACATTCAACATTATGAGGTTTATGTGTGTAGTGCGGGCAATATGTATGGGGAAGTAGGTATTTTTCAGAGGAGATTCCAGAGGGACCATGCTTTCTTCACAAACATCCTGTGTTTCGGTGCATTGATGTAAACTGCGTTGCAGACTGGCAACCCGGACAATCACATTGAAAAACAACATTTCGTCATGCCTCATTGTTTGTCTGAAGAGACTGGAACCACGTCGCCCAGAGCAGTGTCTCTTAGATGGCCGAACCCCTGGGCCGTAGTCCGAATCTCAGGCCGTAGTTTGAATATCAGATTCGCCTGGTTGCGTTTCTAGGGCAGAGCAATGTCCCTTAGATGGCTGAAACCCTTGGTCCTGGTTTGAATCTCAGAGCGTAGTCCGATTCTCAGATTCGTCTGGTTACGTTTCTAGGGCAGAGCAACGTCTCTTAGATGGCTGAAACCCTTGGTTGTAGTTTGAATCTCAGAGCCTAGTCCGTTTCTCAGATTCGCCTGGTTACGTTTCTAGGGCAGAGTAATGTCCCTTAGATGGCTGAAACCCTTTGTCCTGGTTTGAATCTCAGAGCGTAGGCCGATTCTCAGATTCGTCTGGTTACGTTTCTAGGGCAGAGCAACGTCCCTTAGACGGCTGAAACCCTTGGTTGTAGTTTGAATCTCAGGCCGTAGTGCGATTCTCAGATTCGCCTGGTTACGTTTCTAGGGCAGAGCAACGTCCCTTAGATGTCTGAAACCCTTGGTCCTGGTTTGAATCTCAGAGCGTAGGCCGATTCTCAGATTCGTCTGGTTACGTTTCTAGGGCAGAGCAACGTCTCTTAGATGGCCGAACCCCTGGGCCGTAGTTCGAATCTCAGAGCGTAGTTCGATTCTCAGATTCGCCTGGTTACGTTTCTGGGGCAGAGCAACGCCCCTTAGATGGCTGAAACCCTTGGTCGACGTTTGAATTTCAGGCCGTAGTCCGATTCTCAGATTCGCCTGGTTACGTTTCTAGGGCAGAGCAACGTCTCTTAGATGGCTGAAACCCTTGGTTGTAGCTTGAATCTCAGGCCGTAGTCCGATTCTCAGATTCGCCTGGTTACGTTTCTAGGGCAGAGCAACGTCTCTTAGATGGCTGAAACCCTTGGTTGTAGCTTGAATCTCAGGCCGTAGTCCGATTCTCAGATTCGCCTGGTTACGTTTCTAGGGCAGAGCAACGTCCCTTAGATGGCTGAAACCCTTGGTTGTAGCTTGAATCTCAGGCCGTAGTCCGATTCTCAGATTCGCCTGGTTACGTTTCTAGGGCTGAGCAACGTCCCTTAGATGGCTGAAACCCTTGGTTGTAGTCCGATTCTCAGATTCGCCTGGTTACGTTTCTAGGGCAGAGCAACGTCCCTTAGATGGCTGAAACCCTTGGTTGTAGTTTGAATCTCAGGCCGTAGTCCGATTCTCAGATTCGCCTGGTTACGTTTCTAGGGCAGAGCAACGTCTCTTAGATTGCCGAACCCCTGGGCCGTAGTCCGAATCTCAGGACGTAGTTTGAATCCCAGATTCGTCTGGTTTCTAGGGCAGAGCAACGTCCCTTAGGTGTCTGAAACCCTTGGTTGTAGTTTGAATCTCAGGCCGTAGTCCGATTCTCAGATTCGTTTGGTTACGTTTTTTGGTTTACAAGCACATACCCGTTTTTGGCAAAAGATTGAATCGGACATCCCGCATGCATCAGTCTGACAGCCGTTCCATAAGAAATAACGTTAATAGTGGTATTAAAACCAACCCTCTCTGAAGCAAAGATACGGGTATGTTGTCTTCTAACGTGTTTACTGTGCAATACACCCTATAACGACTGACTTATGGATTGTTTCAATGCGACGTTCCGTTACAAGCCCCTGTCTTCATGTCACAGGTTGCTGGTGCCTCCAGAGTGCCTCAATGACTAGTACTTGCCTCACCCTGGTGAAACCAGCGGAGCAGGACATGGTTAGTTTAAAACTTGTTTAGTGTTTAGTTGTTTAGTACATAATAAACTGACGAGCAAAAGAAAGTACACAGGTGTAATTGTGGTTGCAATCCCCAAATATGCGTTCTAACTAATAAAATTATAGAAAAACATTGATTGTATAGAACGCAACCATCATGTTTCATTTGTCAAAATGCAACCAAAACATTTGTACGTGTTTTGCACGAATTTTTGCAAAATTGTGATTATTGTCCCATGTCACCAGCACTTTTCTGACAGAGAGTATAAAACCTGTTTGTCATGAAGACTGAACAATCACTTGACAGAAATCTCACGAGGAAATGCCAAGATTGACGTCGGCGCAACGAGAACGGGCCAAAGGAATGACACAAATGGGTGCTTATTGCAAGGACATTGGGTTGCACAAGACAAACCATAATTCGGCTGTTTAACCGTTTCAGTACGACAGGCCAGACATGTGATCGACCCAGAAGTGGACGTTCCAGAGTCACAACACCCCAAGAGGATCGCTATCTGCGGGTTATTCACCTACGCAACTGGATGTTGACAGTGACGTCATCAGCAGCAACATCATTGGGTCATCGCGTAAGCCGATTCACAGTGACAAGACGACTTTGTTCTGCTGGCATGTATGGGCCTACCGACCGCTGCGTGGAATGGCCTTCACCTTCCAGTATCGTAGGAACCGTCTGCAGTGGTCATCACTACATCGCTGTTTATTGTTACAATGTCATTTTGCTGATAAAACACGTGTATTGCAGTGTGCTTCAACATACATTTTCCATTTCATCAAAAGGTTTTGTTATTTTTATCTTATTGGACGAAACACAACCTGTGTACTTTCTTTTGCACATCAGTTTATTATGTAGCTGAGGGTACATGTAAAACAAACAATACACAAATGGTCGGTGGTTTCCGTCATGCCAAGTGTTGATATGCAGACATTAAGAAGGCAGGACCGGTCGGCTCGCAGTGGTGATAATGTGTCTGGGCAGGGTGCGGGGGTTTCCATGTTAAACATGGTTCGACGGTGAGCTGGCACTTTAAAACTAGGATAGGCCCGGACTCCATTGTCCTCATGTAAGCCAGTGCGTAAACTATACTACCATTACCCTGTGTATCTATAATACGCACCCACTGCCCTGTATGTTCCTAAGATGTACAGTCACACCCACTGCCCTGTATGTTCCTAAGATGTACAGTCGCACCCAGTGCCCTGTATGTGCCTAAGATGTACAGCCGCACCCACTGCCCTGTATGTTCCTAAGATGTACAGTCGCACCCACTGCCCTGTATGTTCCTAAGATGTACAGTTGCACCACTGACCTGAATGTTCCAGCGGATCAGCCAAGTAGAACTTCGACCAGTCCATATCGGATGTGACGTAGTTCAGACTCCATGGACTGGAGTAGATGACCCGATGACCTCTGCTGACCGCTAAGGCCATGGCGGCCTTGGGATAAGGTTTCCATATTTGAATTATGGCTTGTTCATCTATCTGAATTAAAAAATGTTAGACAATTATATAGCAAAAACTACAAACGACATGGACACTATTGCCTGAACTGTATTGCTATAAAACATAGCATGCAAAATCACCTATGTGACGGCTGATGCAGGGCCTAGAGGTTGAGTTATTGTCTGGGGACACTGGAACCAAGGCAGAACACCCCCAGTTGGTGGTTTACACAGTTGTCACGTAGAGACAAGCTGATATCAAACGAGGAGCATATGAGACAACACAGGTCCAACTGACCTGGTATTCATCAGGGCAGAGTCAGGGCACAGCCCATGTGTCCAATGTTCTACTGATCTGATTAACGACCCATCGTTACACAATTTACGCCTTCTGTGAACGTCCTTTGAACCCCACTACACGTGAAGCAGAACAATCGTTAGGTAACGTACGTCTACTGTCTAGCACCTGCTGACATCGTTACGTACCGTACATCAACTGTCTAGCACCTGCTGACATCGTTACGTACCGTACGTCAACTGTCTAGCACATGCTGACATCGTTATCGAACGTAAATCAACTGTCGTCAGGGAACATACGAACACTTCTGTGTACTGTCTAGCACCTGCTGACACCGTTACGTACGTCAACTGTCGTTAGGTGCCATACGAACACTTCTGTGTACTGTCTAGCACCTGCTGACATCGTTACGTACGTCAACTGTCGTTAGGTACCATACGAACACTTCTGCGTAGTATTTAGACCTGCTGACACCATTACGTACCGCACGTCAACTGTCGTTAGGTGCCATACGAACACTTCTGTGTACTGTCTAGCACCTGCTGACATCGTTACGTACGTCAACTGTCGTTAGGTACCATACGAACACTTCTGCGTAGTATTTAGACCTGCTGACACCATTACGTACCGCACGTCAACTGTCGTTAGGTAACATACGAACACTTCTGTGTAGTATTTAGACCTGCTGACACCATTACGTACCGCACGTCAACTGTCGTTAGGTAACATACGAACACTTCTGTGTACTGTCTAGCACATGCTGACATCGTACACGTGATTCTGCTGCCGAACACACTTTCACATCTACACGTACGTACACTGACTTCAATGTCCAGTACATCCTGCCAGAACACAAGCGTCCTCTTGCTGTCCAGCTGATTCACAATACTTGACAATCTGCAACAAACAATTACTCCTGATGTAAGGGCAAGTCATGGTCAAAGCAGCATGGCTACTTGATTCAAAACACTGGCATATATATTACTAACAACCTAACCAGGGAAAGTCAGGGGGACTAGTTTGTCATACAGACCCTGAAGCAATATATCTAAGAAAGCCCACGCAAATCTAGAAAATGTGGCAAGTCTAGATTTTCACAGCTTCTGAAAATGGAGAAAGTACCAAGCCTCCTTTTCATTATATTTTATGTAAAGTATGTTTATTTCATAGAGTAGTTGTTAGTCTAGGTTTGGACAAGGAGTAAGGATTAGGCCATAACCACGTGATCCTCAGCGATAGGCCAAGATCTTTAAGTCCGATATGATACATCAGTATGTGTGTCTGAAGAGATCACTGTACTTAGCCATCTCGTCAGGTGCAGCCTGGACATATTTTGACAGCCCAATCGAATGACAATATGTGGGTTATTAAGCCAATCAGATGTCAGTTTTCTAAAATGATTCGATTTAATTTATTTACGACTTTTAGAAAGTGTGCATATTGTCAACATAACAGCGCCTCTAGATTTTTGTATTTAAGATACCAAAATCGGATAAGCAGGGCAGGGCAGGGCAGGGCAGGGCAGGGCAGGGCTGTAAAACGACATATATATGCTACATTGCTCGAAAGGGTATTCTTCACTTACCAGCATCACAAATGTCACACAAAATTCAAATTCATAAAATACATTAAACCAATAAAAATACAGAAATGTGTCGATTCGCCGACCTTCTGATTCCTAAGACAAGACCAGAGTTGTTTGTTCCCGTGACAGGTTGTCATGGTAACGGCGTCATGGGAGAGGAGGGCCAGACAAGTGCTAATTAGCAGGAATGGCAAAATTGACTGAGTTCGATCAAACACTGTATTGTTTGTCTACTAATATTATGTATAGCATTGAAGCAGATAACCATTTCTCTAATTACACATCAACAATGGAGTTTCGTGCAGGGTACAAGCTACGAAGTCCTGACCTCAGACTCGACTGAATATAGACAGCGGACCGTGAAGAGTGATAAAGCTTCTTTAAAACACACCCGATGATTGTTTTCCAGACTTTTGTCAACAACAGGGTGTGTATGTCAGGCGAAACATTCGTCTCTCACTCATCAATGCACGTGTAAGATGTTGTTTTTTACACAACTTTTCCTAACCACTTTTTAAAAAAGAATTAAAACGCCTGCCCTGGGAACGACGTGAACATGTTATCTTTGACTCTACACAGGCAGTCATGCGCGTCAGGAAGTGTAAGCCACTCTCGACCCAGACAGTGCCGACATGAACGTCGCGCAAATACATCGTCCTGCACCATGCAGTATGAGTCACTGTCTGACTTTCTTTGCCCACACATTTCTCAAATGATCTTAGGCGGTTTTGGACGGATTGCGGTTTTTAAGTTGTGCCATTATAATGAGGTGAGGTGAGGTGAAATTGGGTTTAACGTCGTGCTTGAGAATATTTCGCTCATGTGACGACGTCATTATAATGAGCAAAGGTGATGCTGGCGTTTTTGATCTGCTGGCGACAACCACACAATCCAATCATGCCAAACACCGTCTGCTTTGAGGGTGGAGTGGTGCGGTATTGGCAGCTCCCTCTGGCGGAGATATCCAAGGGAGGTAACCAGCCAATCAGCACCCACGTCGAACTCTTAGAAACAGGATGCCTATTTTGTTTCAGTGTTTATATTATCGCTGTGTTTCTTTCATTATCCACTTAGTTTGTTTTGTACGCTGAAAGTAAACCCATTAAACTGAGACTTAAAATAGAGCGTTGGTAGCAGGATTAGATCACTGAAACATTGAATATATTTAAGTGAGGAAGCATGCCAAGATATATATGTTGTACGGTCATGAATACGTGATTCGTGTTTGGGACAGGTAAACCATTTCCAACATTCTCATTATTGTATAGCTTACTTCATTCGAAGTAGTCAAGACACATTACATGATCACGAGCAAAGTGAACAACACACACTTCCGGAAAATGACGGAAGTCGCTACCCTTGGCACACATGCAGCAAATAGTTCTGACGCTGCCGTTGCTCAACTCAGACAGACGACAAATTTCTATACAACCATATCTGAAAAATGTCGGATGTCAGCCCCTGGTTTTTGACAACGTGGATTACAAACGCACACTTTCTCAAATATCTCCTAAACTATACTGGGTGATAATTTCATATTAATGAAGGTCTATCTGTGACTCGCGCTGGGCACAGAGGCACCTACCTGGTAGTGAAATAATTCTGTACTTCTCTGTAATCTTCAATTGTTTCTCTTTCCATGAATCTAACGATATCTTTGGATTTAGCCCTGGAAACGAAAAGTGAGTGTTACGTTTGGCAACAAGAACTCCGAACGTTTCTAGGACGGGTTGAGTAAGTACTTTCTGAAGACCTTTAATAATAACACGACACTTTGACTCGTTTCTTCCAAGGTGCGTAAGGCGTTCATATCAGACGTGTGTAACAACACGCAGCAGCACACGACATGGACATCCTCCCTTCCGAAAAGCACGTAGCGTTCACTGTCACAACCAGAAACACTCACCAACACGACATGGGCACATCGTCCCCTCCAAGATGCACGTAACGTCCCGGGAACGCTGTTAGCAAATCATCCCACAACCCTTCCAACACCGTGTACGTGACGTTACTGCTGACGTCGAGCACCCGGTGCAAGTTGTCGTCGGCACAGTCGACCACGACGTCGGGGACGCCGTTTCCCCAAGAGGCGGTGTGACCTTGGCGAGTTGAAAGTGGTTAGGTAGCGATCACTTATAGTTTGGCATTTGCCAGATATTGTTCAGAAGTTCAGTATAGTTTTACAACACATATTACATCTTTGAATTATAGAACGAAAATCATTGACATTAATCAGTTGGAAATAGATTTTTTCACAAAAATGTCAAATGTAAACGTATCATGGCGTCAGGTCAAGTCGTCTGAAGCACAGTAATTCGCGGTTTGACATTTCATACAGTTATTACCGGTGGTTCGAATCCCAGTGGGACCAGTGGTTTGCCAGCATTATACAGATGTTCATGGGTTTCACTCATGCTATAAGCGTCCGTGACCTCTATAATTCCCACAGAATTTCAACTGAAATTTAGCTGTAACCGAACTCACTCATACATTTCCACAAGCCTTCACAGTAGTGAGTGAGTTTAGTTTTACGACGCACTCAGCAATATTCCAGCTATATGGCGGCGGTCTGTAAATAATCGAGTCTGTACCAGACAATCCAGTGATCAGCAGCATGAGCATGATCTGCGCAATTGGGAACTGATGACATGTATCAACCAAGTCAGCAAGCCTGACCACCCGATCCCGTTAGTCGCCTCTTACGACAAGCATGGGTTACTGAAGATCAATATTCTAACCCGGACCTTCACGGGTCCCTTCACAGTAGAGCTTGTACTGGGACTGGCATCTTACCTGGAGAGTCGAGCTCAGGAAGTACCCGGATGCCCCTCTGTCTGGCAAACTCTACGATATCCGCAAAGTCCGCTGCGTCGTACGTCTCCTTGTAGGAGTCCTGAGGAAAGTCATACTCAACACGTTATTTATATTACAGGCAGACAGACAGAACCTTATGTATGTAAGAGATAGATAGATACACAGATCCCATGCCCCATGCCGAAGTACTGAGCCAGCAATGGAGAGTGGAAGTCCGACTCTCCACCAGTACCATGAGAAAGACGTTCCATGCCACCGTACGAAATTAACGTCGGTCCTTAGGCCCGAAGCCGACTGAAAACCACTTGGACTCACAGCTTTTCTGCAGGTCTTTATGGCCGACAGCTTAAATTCAATTCTTTAACTCAGTTTGTTATAGTTGTCACATTTTTTGTTTGCTGGGAATTACATTACAGCTAAAACTTACATTGTAGCTAAAATATAGAGCCTACACATTCTGATCACAACTTTATATGGTTCTGGGTCCTTAGGGCCTGAATCTTTTCAGGGTTAAAGGCAAACATGCTGAAGGTCTGCCGGCACATCGTCCCTTACTCACAGACAGGCACAGCCAGGAACGTCTGGCGTGGTGCAGGTTCCAAGGAAAGAACAACTTGCGGACATGGCGCAGGATCACTGTTATCATAATATCGCAGGGCTCTACACAGTACCTTGTCAGCGTTACCATCTGGAAGTACTGGATACCGCCGTCGTGCCACTTTATGGTAACATCCTCTTGCCGGACATCCGATATCAATGGGTGACCTCACTGGGCCTCATTGTTCCCGTTAGATCAGGGCATGATGTGCTTACATTGTTGTTGAGGCAAGGGTGGAACGTTTTTTATTACACAGTGGGATACTCACCTTGTTCCTGAGGCCAGGATATGATTTGCTGACCCAGGGGAAAGGACTGGTCATCTACCAAGCGCCAGTGCAGGACATTCAGCTTGTTCTGTTCCATGACCTCCTGGAGGAGACAGAGATATATTAGGAACTAGCAAAACATAACAGAAACTAGGGGGCACTCTCGGAATAGAACTATAATTCTGATGGTCGTTGTGTTGTTACGTCTCACCAGGTTCTCCTTGATTGTTGTTGGGTGGAGGAAGTGTGTGCCGGTGTTGATCATGACGCCGCGGTGATGGAACCGGGGGAAGTCCACAATGTCGGTCATGTGAACACACGGCTGGAACATACAATGACCAGCTATCAATGTATGGCGATCACTGCACAGCTACCATCGCCATATCCTGTGTAGGGTTAGAGAAGTATGTAATTTGCTGATCGAAGGAAAGCATACACTGAATGAATAAATAAAAGACAATCAACACATATGTGATAACACCTGTCACATTCAACATAACATAAGGCAATGAACGCTTAACAAAGGAAACGCTTCCTTAACACTAATGGCATTTGTATCTTGTGTGGCTTCCTCATGCCAGGTAGTGAAGCATGGGATGGTGACGGTCAGGGTAACACGGGAGGGCCAGGTACCCCAGACAGACACATATAACGATGGTGAGGTCGGGGACCGTGATGGTCAGGGTAACACGGGAGGGCCAGGTACCCCAGACTGACACATATAACGATGGTGAGGTCGGGGACCGTGATGGTCAGGGTAACACGGGAGGGCCAGGTACCCCAGACAGACACATATAACGATGGTGAGGTCGGGGACCGTGATGGTCAGGGTAACACGGAGAGGGCCAGGTACCCCAGACAGACACATATTGTGATGGTGAGGTCGGGGACCATGATGGTCAGGGTAACACGGAAGGGCCAGGTACGCCAGACAGACACATATAACGATGGTGAGGTCGGGGACCGTGATGGTCAGGGTAACGCGGGAGGGCCAGGTACGCCAGACAGACACATATAACGATGGTGAGGACGGAGACCGTGATAGTCAGGGTAACGCGGGAGGGCCAGGTACCCCAGACAGACACATATAACGATGGTGAGGTCGGGGACCGTGATGGTCAGGGTAACGGGAGGGCCAGGTACCCCAGACAGACACATATAACGATGGTGAGGTCGGGGACCGTGATGGTCAGGGTAACGCGGGAGGGCCAGGTACCCCAGACAGACACATATAACGATGGTGAGGTCGGAGACCGTGATGGTCAGGGTAACGCGGGAGGGCCAGGTACCCCAGACAGACACATATAACGATGGTGAGGAGACCGTGGAGACACGTGATGGTCAGGGTAACGCGGAGGGCCAGGAGGGCCAGGTACCCCAGACAGACACATATAACGATGGTGAGGTCGGGGACCGTGATAGTCCAGTCAGGAGTAACGCGGGAGGGCCAGGTACCCCAGACAGACACATATAACGATGGTGAGGTCGGGGACCATGATGGTCAGGGTAACACAGGGAGGGCCAGGTACCCCAGACAGACACATAACGATGGTGAGGACGGAGACCGTGATGGTCAGGGTAACGCGGGAGGGCCAGGTACCCCAGACAGACACATATAACGATGGTGAGGACGGGAGACCGTGATGGTCAGGAGTAACGCGGGAGGGCCAGGTACCCCAGACAGACACATATAACGATGGTGAGGTCGGGGACCGTGATGGTCAGGGGTAACGGAGGGCCAGGTACCCCAGACAGACACATATAACGATGGTGAGGACGGAGACCGTGATGGTCAGGAGTAGACGCTTGGGAGGGGCCAGGTACCCCAGACAGACACATATAACGATGGTGAGGTCAGGGACAGACCGTGATGGTCAGGGGTAACGCCAGACAGACACATATAACGAGGGCCAGGAGGTACCCCAGACAGACACATATAACGATGGTGAGGACAGAGACCGTGATGGTCAGGGTAACGCGGGAGGGCCAGGTACCCCAGACAGACAGACACATATAACGATGGTGAGGACGGAGACCATGATGGTCAGGGTAACTCGGGAGGGCCAGGTACCCCAGACAGACACATATAATGATGGTGAGGACGGGAGACCGTGATGGTCAGGGTAACGCGGGAGGGCCAGGTACCCCAGACAGACACATATAATGATGGTGAGGACGGAGACCGTGATGGTCAGGGTAACGCGGGAGGGCCAGGTACCCCAGACAGACACATATAATGATGGTGAGGACGGAGACCGTGATGGTCAGGGCAACGCGGGAGGGCCAGGTACCCCAGACAGACACATATAACGATGGTGAGGACGGAGACCATGATGGTCAGGGTAACGTGGGAGGGCCAGGTACCCCAGACAGACACATATAACGATGGTGAGGTCGGGGACCGTGATGGTCGGGGTAAGTCAGGAGGGCCAGACAACGTAACGACACACATAATGATGGTGAGGGCCAGGTACCCCAGACAGACACATATAACGATGGTGAGGTCGGGGACCGTGATGGTCAGGGTAACGCTTGGGAGGGCCAGGTACCCCAGACAGACACATATAACGATGGTGAGGACGGAGACCATGATGGTCAGGGTAACACGGGAGGGCCAGGTACGCCAGACAGACACACATATAACGATGGTGAGGACGGAGACCGTGATGGTCAGGGTAACGCGGGAGGGCCAGGTACCCCAGACAGACACATATATAATGATGGTGAGGACGGAGACCGTGATGGTCAGGGCAACGGGAGGGAGGGCCAGGTACGCCCAGACAGACACATATAATGATGGTGAGGGACGGGGAGACCATGATGGTCAGGGTAACTCGGGAGGGCCAGGTACCCCAGACAGACACATATAACGATGGTGAGGACGGAGACCGTGATAGTCAGGGTAACGCGGGAGGGCCAGGTACCCCAGACAGACACATATAATGATGGTGAGGACGGAGACCGTGATGGTCAGGAGCAGACACATATAATGTACGGGGGAGGGCCAGGTACCCCAGACAGACACATATAACGATGGTGAGGTCGGGACCGTGATGGTCAGGGGTAACGGGAGGGCCAGGTACCCAGACAGACACACATATAACGATGGTGAGGACAGAGACCGTGATGGTCAGGAGTAACTCAGGAGGGCCAGGTACCCCAGACAGACACATATATAACGATGGTGAGGTTGGGGACCGTGATGGTCAGGAAGTACGCAGGGGAGGGCCAGGTACCCCAGACAGACACATATAACGATGGTGAGGTCAGGGACCGTGATGGTCAGGAGTAACACGGGAGGGCCAGGTACCCCAGACAGACACATATAACGATGGTGAGGTCGGGGACCGTGATGGTCAGGAGTAACGCGGAGGGCCAGGTACCCCAGACAGACACATATAACGATGGTGAGGACGGAGACCATGATGGTCAGGGTAACGCTTGGGGGAGGGCCAGGTACCCCAGACAGACACATATAATGATGGTGAGGTCGGGGACCGTGATGGTCAGGGTAACGCTGGGAGGGCCAGGTACCCCAGACAGACACATATAACGATGGTGAGGACGGAGACCATGATGGTCAGGGTAACGCGGGAGGGCCAGGTACCCCAGACAGACACATATAATGATGGTGAGGTCGGGGAACGTGATGGTCAGGGTAACGCGGGAGGGCCAGGTACCCCAGACAGACACATATAACGATGGTGAGGACGGAGACCATGATGGTCAGGGTAACGCGTGGGAGGGTCAGGTACCCCAGACAGACACATATAACGATGGTGAGGTCAGGGTCAGGAGTACGTGATGGTCAGGACAGACACATAACGATGGTGGAGGGCCAGGTACCCCAGACAGACACATATAATGATGGTGAGGACGGAGACCGTGATAGTCAGGAGGTAACGTGGGAGGGCCAGGTACCCCAGACAGACACATATAATGATGGTGAGGTCAGGGGAACGTGATGGTCAGGAGTAACGCAGGAGGGCCAGGTACCCCAGACAGACACATATAATGATGGTGAGGTCGGGGACCGTGATGGTCAGGAGTAACATACTTAGGAGGGCCAGGTACCCCAGACAGACACATATAACGATGGTGAGGACGGAGACCGTGATGGTCAGGAGCAACTTGGGAGGGAGGGCCAGGTACATATAACAGACAGACATATATATCAGGAGACGATGGTGAGGGAGGGAGACAGACACATGATGGTCAGGACCGTGATGGTCAGGAGTAACGTGGGAGGGCCAGGTACCCCAGACAGACACATATAGCGATGGTGAGGAGTCGGGGACCATGATGGTCAGGGTAACACAGGAGGGCCAGGTACCCCAGACAGACACATATAACGATGGTGAGGACGGAGACCGTGATGGTCAGGGGTAAGCGCAGGGAGGGCCAGGTACCCCAGACAGACACATATAGTGATGGTGAGGACGGAGACCGTGATGGTCAGTGGTAACACAGGAAGGTACAGCCAGACAGACACATATACACAATGAGCGATGGTGAGGTGGAGAACGTGTCAGGTCAGGAGTGAACACATATGGTGAGGGGGCCATGGTCAGGATGCTGACAGAGGCCAGACAGACACATATTACGATGGTGAGGACGGAGACCATGATGGTCAGGAGGTAACACTTGGGAGGGCCAGGTACCCCAGACAGACACATATAATGATGGTGAGGACGGAGACCGTGATAGTCAGGAGGTAACGCAGGAGGCCAGGTACCCCAGACAGAGGACACATATAATGATGGTGAGGACAGGAGACCGTGATGGTCAGGAGACCGTAACGGGGAGGAAGCCAGGTACGCCAGACAGACACATATAACGATGGTGAGGTCGGAGACCTTGATGGTCAGGGTAACGCGGGGGAGGGCCAGGTACCCCAGACAACACATATAACGATGGTGAGGACGGGGACCGTGATGGTCAGGGGTAACACTTGGGAGGGCAGGTACCCCAGACAGACACATATAACGGTGGTGAGGACAGAGACCGTGACGGTCAGGGTAACGCGGGAGGGCCAGGTACCCCAGACAGACACATATAACGATGGTGAGGACAGAGACCGTGATGGTCAGGGTAACGCAGGAGGGCCAAGTACCCCAGACTGACACATATAATGATGGTGAGGTCGGGGACCATGATGGTCTTGCCAACACGGGAGGGCCAGGTAAGCCAGACAGACACATATTACGATGGTGAGGTGGGGGACCGTGATGGTACGTACCTGCCGACTATGATCTGCTATATGTACCTGTTGACTATGAGCTGCTGTATGTACCTGCTGACTATGAGCTGCTATATGTAGTTACTGACTATGGGCTGCTATATGTACCTGCTGACTATGAGCTGCTATATGTACCTGCTGTCTATGAGCTGATATATGTACCTGCTGACTGTGAGCTGATACATGTACCTGCTGTCTATGAGCTGCTATATGTACCTGCTGTCTATGAGCTGCTATATGTACCTGCCTGTGATCTGATAGATATACCAGCCGGGACAATGTCTCCAGGCCCCTCAAAGCTCCCCACACCTCACCGGCCGTGATGGACGCCGAGTTGTTGTTGATCTGTAATGTGTCTGAAGTGAACAGAATTGTTTCCAGTAAACAGGTGTATCAGCTTAAGTGATTCGAAGTAACTGATCATTGGATTGCTATGGGGCGATAATCTGTGATTTGTGCAGCCTAAGATACATTCACCCGCTCATTAAGACGTCTATTACGATCATTACGCTAGTGTGATGTTATAAGGTGTACGTACATGTTTCATTGGCAGTTGGTTCTGGATACGTCTCACTGCACGAGTATAGCACTGACACCACCACGTTGTGCAGACGAGCAGGGTTGCCTGGTTCCATAGAAGGTTCGAACTCTCCCTGGTCTCTGATGACTACTGATTGTGTACTGGGCGGCCGACCCGTAATAATGACGTAGTAGCGTCTCAGTGCCTTTCTGAGCGTCACACACGACCGAGACGACGGGCTAATAACAAACCGGAAGTTAGTATCTAGCTGATAAACCATGTTGGAGTCAGACCGGAAGTTACGTGGTAATGGCCATGGTTGACCCTGTGTTCTGTTTCTTGCCTCCGTTTTGTAGGCCACATGTGTATCACGTGGAAAATCTGTAACAATAGCTTTGAACACACAATGCTTTTTATACAATGTAGCGTATGACAACAGCAAAACACGAGTGATGAGGTGTGCTCCCACACTACAGACGAAGGTTGTCCGTGAGCTTTGTCAGATTACAGTTTGGGAAGGAGTGAACTACTTCTTACCCTTTTATAACAGTATTTCAGTTGTGTCACGGCGGGTAAATGCTTAATGTGGGGTGAGTGCTTAATGTGGGCTAGTGCTTAATGTGGCGCAAGTCTTAGATGTATAAAACCTAGGAAGATACAGTACAGACCAAGGACAACAATTCAGGCATATCTGAGGTTCGAACCCACTATCAGCACATCCTGACATAAAGGAGCTGAACATGGCGTACTCAGAACTGATGCATATGACCACAATGTGTCCCCATTACTTAGCAGTTAAAACAAGACGTACATCTTGGGGAGACCATGCCCACAGAACGCCCCAAATACAGGGGACTTAGATTCCTGGGCAAAAACGGGATTATGGCAGTGATATTTATTTGAGAAAGAATAGTTTTTAGTCTATTACAGTCTATTGAAAGACACCTATAAAACCACAAAACATATCCCTCACATCCAGTGACCGTTTTTAGAAACCCTAGTGTAGATTATTCTTCAGAGGATTCTCTACAACAGGTTTTGGTTACCCCAAGTAGCCAGATGCGAAATTATATCGATTCCAACGACACGCTTTTGTAGTTAAGCAACCCCCACTACAAGCAACACTGCCACCACCTCCACTATTACTGTCATTGGTGGTGGGGTAGCCTAGTGGTTAAAGCGTCACGCCGAAGGCCCGGGTTCGATTCAATGTTCGAAGTCCATTTCTGGTGTCCCCCGCCGTGATATTGGTGGAATATTGCTAAAAGCGGCGTAAAACCATACTCACTGTTTGCAAACTGAAGATCCGTGACTATAGGACCTGATTTCAGCTGCAGATGAGACGTACCTGGAATCCATCTCTTTGAACGACGTCGTTTTGGTTTCGTGTGACTCCTGGTCTGCCACAGGGACACGTCCATCCTCTCCTTGACCGGGACGTTCTCAACGGCTTCATACGGCAGCATCGCCTGCAACATAGCACTCCTCATCTTTCCCCGTCGACCTTCACCCGTAGCGCGAAAAACATGATTGTTCCGCCTTCTGGATCGCTTGTAAAACCTTTCTCCTTGGCGCCTCTGAGCTGCAAAGCGAATAGTGAGTAAGCCGAGTTTATTTCCGTGGCACAGTTGGAGTTGTTGGTTACGCCTAATTTGACAAATAACTACCATTACAACGGAAGGAAACCAAGTGGATGCGGTGGATCGAGGTTTCCGCTTGCATAGGACAGCTAGAAAGTTCCATTGTTTAGGCGAGCAGTGGGAAGCCTACACGAGGTCGACTATGGAATATTACGGTCAGAACTAGTCTGTCTCAAGGAACCATAGTATTTTCCATTCCTTCGAGACATACATGTAATGCAAAAGCTCTAAATATAGAACGTCTAAATTTTCTTCAGCCTCCGAATCTCCCACTGGGTCTCCTTATAAATTTAAACAGAGATATTTGTTTCTATGAGAAATATATATTTTCTGAGGTTAAGCGTTAGTATAGGTGAGAACTAGTGGTGGTCCGATTAATTGAAATAATCGAAGATTGGTCGCAGTGACTAAACGACCAAGCAATCGATCATGTTTTCTCATAATCGAATACAAACAATTCTGGAACACCTTTTGCATTAACAATTTTTTTTACACAAGGTTGGTTTTGTCTGTTATATTTCATGAGCACTACAAGCTCGGTCCAAGTCATGATTGAATTTATCTTAAAGAGCCCAAGAAATTTATGTTCCTAACATACTTGTCATCCTTTAAAGATGTGCAATTTGCGGGAAAAACAACCAAAGAACTACAAGTTTTTTCTTTATGCTTTTGTGCACACAGGAAAATTTCATAAATGACGCTAACCAATTATTTTCGATGATTGATCGGTTGTAATGAACCAATCATCAATTATGAGATTTTAACCACTTCCCAACATTAGTGAGAACAAACATGACCCGCTAGACCGAGTCTGAACTCAGCTATGATGACAGACAAAGGATAACAGTCAGATGGGTGACGAGGTGACGAATACCTGCCATTATAACTACTGAAGTAATAATCCATGAAAAAAAACGGTTCTAGAATAGTAACATATACTCTTTCTCATTAAAGTACAGATTCTAGAAATGTTTTGCTTGGGCCCCATCCGGAATTCAAAACCACACTCCCAGAGTCAAGCATCTAATCACCAGCACACAAAGTCAGCCATCTAACCCACTCAGCCATCGCAGGTTCCTCAAAAATGGAAGTCTGACAACTGGTAGTCTAGACCACGTACTGTGTGTACTGTGTACCCCAGTCACGAGTGTACACAGGAACAGCTACCACGGATGACAGTTGTAAATGCACAATGCTACATAAAAGTAGTGAAATGTAACATTTGTTAACATAGGTGGGATTACACTTTCTCAGTGAGGTAGAATTTCTAAATGATATTGTGTATTCATACTATGATAATATCAATATGATAAATATAATCGGCGCTAAACCCAAATCACTCACTCACTCCCCATGTATATCAAACCAGAACACTTATATCCCATCACAGACTTGAAGATAGCTGCAATAACATAGCTGTGTTTGAAATGGCCTTCGTTTCAGTGATGTACCTGGCCCGTTTTAAACATGTGTGTAGCATGAGTGAGAGATTTAGGAGTACACGCGCTCCGTTGTTGGCAGGGAGTGGACGATATGTCCAACATGTGTCTAATAGTCTGATATATTCTACAAGGATGTATCACAAGTAGGTGAAACTGTTATTAACCAACTCGTAAAGGTTTGGTCACTACTGGTGATATATCGTGATGTCCCCAAGGGATGTATGTACCACTATATTCACAACATGTCTCAACACCGAGGTATTCCGAAGGGATACATGTGCCGTGCTGTAACAAAGGAGATACGTACCGTAATGTATCAAAGGGATGTATGTACCGTGTACCGTAATGTATCCAAGGGACGCATGTACCGTGTACCGTAATGTATCCAAGGGATGTATGTACCGTGTACCGTAATGTATCCAAGGGATGTATGTACCACTATATTCACAACATGTCTAAACACCGAGGTATTCCGAAGGGATACATGTACCGTGCTGTAACAAAGGAGATACGTACCGTAATGTATCAAAGGGACATATGTACCGTGTACCGTAATGTATCCAAGGGATATATGAACCGTGTACCGTAATGTATCCAAGGGATATATGTACCGTGTACCGTACTGTGTCCAAAGGACGCATGTACCGTGTACTGTAATGTATCCAAGGGATGTATGTACCGTGTACCGTGATGTATCCAAGGGATGTATGTACCGTGTACCGTAATGTATCCAAGGGACGCATGTACCGTGTACCGTAATGTATCCAAGGGACGCATGTACCGTGTACCGTAATTTATCCAAGGGATGCATGTACCGTGTACCGTGATGTATCCAAGGGACGCATGTACCGTGTACCGTAATGTACCCAAGGAATGCATGTACCGTGTGCCGTTTACCATGTACCTTGTACCGTGATGTTTAATCGTTTCCTGAGGGAGATACGTACCATATTATTCATAAGTGATAAATGTACCGTGATACCCCAAAGTAATATTTGTATTCGACAGAGACATGTGTATCTTGACATCCCCAGTGATGTGATGTTCCAAGGGCAGATGCGTAACATGATCTTACCAAAGGATGTAAGTACGATGACACGTAGGTATATAAAACAAAGGTGTCCATATCTGTATGTTTTTGAACTTATAAAAACAGATAAGTGGCGCGATTTTCCCCAGGAATGTAGAAAGTGTCTGACCATAAGTAAGGAACCCTTTTGATACTAGATGCTTGATGGGCATTTAGATATTGACATCATGAGTTCCCTAGTGATGATATATCGTGATGTACCCAAGTGATAATGAGGCATATGTAAGATGATGTTCCCTACCAACATTTGTATACACGGCACACATATAGTTTTCTCGCTAACTTCAATAATAAATCCCGCAGTTATAGCACAAACAAACAAGGCGAGTCAAACTATGGCACGCTTATAGCTTGTGCTAAATCAGGATATAAAGACCCTGTTTCTGACATAGATTACAGAGACATATCTACAGATAAAGGTTGGCATGTTCCGACTGAAAAACAGAAACACCGAAACAGTATAACCTAAGAAACATTTTCAATTTTAAATGTAGTTATCATGTGGCCGGAATAGCGTGTTCAGATAACGGCAGACATTCATGACCTGCGTATAGGTAAAGAGTCCGATCCAGTACAAGTGAACGAAGATGGGGGATGGCGCTTTGACGGATGAGGGAGAATTAACTTGAGTTAAACGAAACAATATTTCGGTTATTACTTTACAGAGTGAGTCAGTGAGGTTTAATACCGCTTTGAACAATACTCAGTTAAACCATTCTCAGACGTTTTCCACTGTAGTGAACGGTTATAATTAGAAGATAAAGATACTCTGTTTTCATATTTTGCGGTCCTTTATTGTTGCTTTAAGACCGCTAAATGTAATTTAGAAACCGAACGCTGCCGAGGTAGAAATCGCCCATGTCTGACATGTTTGTTTACAAACAAAAGGGTCAATGGGTTCATTGTATTCATACACGGTGAATCGGTTACTTTAATTAGCGGTCTTTAAACTGCCATTTAAGTACGGTTTTGATGAGCTCTCAGCCAATCAGAATCGAGTATCACAAAATGTCGTGCTCCAATGTGTAATAATATCCAACGTTGCGTGGAAACGACAGGATTTCTGAGATATACTTAGAGACCAACAAAGGTGAGAAACTTCATGGATGACAACGTCTTTATGATATCATCATAAAGTAAACATGTCATCCATTAATCTTACCTTGTTCGTAACTCACCAATTTCTAAAATGACAGATCAGGTATGGGTGAATAGCTACAGCCAAGTGACAGGCCATCAGTGATACCTGTACCAGGTTAATTATTTCGTTTACAGCGCAGGAAACTGACACTATTCACACAACATGGTCAATTAGTTTCTTAACAGACTACAGTCATAACAACCATGCTTGCTGTGGAATATATAGCTACACTGTCTGTTGACTCTGGTAACGTAAATACACTATGAGATTCGTTACCCAAACTGGAATGGTTCAGATATTACGACGGTTGGCGCCTTTTAACAAAGCGATGCCAGCGGTACGGTGACCGCCACTCCAGTATTTTAAACATAGACTTACGTCTGTTGTCGCGCAACGCTTGCGGTGTGGAACGGGTCCCTTCGTTCGAGAAAGGTGTATAAACAGCCTACAATGGGGCTGATTACAAACTCTGTCGCTGAACATGTGGCAGTGGGCTTTTGATAGCTGTGAGGTTGTAGTAAGCTTCAGAGACACGAGGCGAAGACGAAATAGCAGCCATAGGAAGTAGGTTAATTCTAGTCGCATGTGACACACGTTCGGTTCGTTTCTCGACGTTTATCAGTGTAACTGTTGGTGACTATACACAGGCGAAGCTGGACAGGGTTAATGCACTTGTATACATAGGATTTAGGTGTGTGTGAAGGTTCGTGGGTGGAATGCTGGCATTAGTTGGGACTTATATCGGTTTAACAGTGCTTATCAATTGAGATACCACGGCGAACGGACCCGTGAAGGTGCGGGTTAGAATGAACCATCAGTAACCCATGCTTGTCGTAAGAGGCGACTAACGGGATCAGGTGGTCGGGCTCGCTGACTTGGTTGACATATGTCATCGGTTCCCAGTTGCGCAGATCGATGCTCATGCTGTTGATCACTGGAATGCCAGGTCCAGACACGATTATTTACAGACCGCCGCCATATAGCTGGAATATTGCTGAGTGCGGCGTAAAACTGAACTCACTCACACACCCATGGCGAACGTAACACTTTGACATGGGTACATCTCTTGGACAGCGCATACTGACATTCCGAGACCTTGTTCATCCCCTTAACGCCGAGCACAAGTCGGGGTAACAACAAGTACCATGTTTACGTGTTTCTTTATGGAATCTCACAGAAACCACCGACCTACGTCCTTTACCCTTACCGGCCACCCATGGGCATGGTTGACCTTCCCCTGACCAAAGTTTACAATCAGGGAGATCTTTATCCCAAACAGTGATGAGCGAATCCCGACACAACTAAGGGACGCAAGCCTCACACTGAATATCATAGACGGGTGACACGGAACCTGAGACGCATTGACATCTAGTATCTTCGGAGTAACGCCTTTCCCTGGTTTCTTCATCATTATCCTCCGAATTGCATCTGGCCAATCATCCCCTTATGCCAGTGAAATTAATCACCCTAATACTACCTGAGCACCATCATCACCAGAATTAGTGTCGTAATAAGATAAACTGAATGAGCAATATGGGTGCCGCTCAGTTACACGTGTCGCTCAGAGCCACACAACAGTGTGTGGAGGGGGCAGCCGCGTGGGTTTGGTATCAGAAGGACGTTGCGACCTACGGAGAGAACGGTTTGATTTTCTCACATCAGGAAGCTATTCGTCTAAACTAAGCAACGCAGCTAAATACCGCCCATTCCGAACATACGGTAGCATCGCTGGAATACAGAAACAGCTCGCATTCTCACGCTGCACGCCATTCTTGTTACATAGCGGATGACATAAGCCGATGCAGGACGACGGGCTGGGGCAACACACACTTGTTTGTTTCGTGGGAAAACAATAACATGATAAAGTATCCAGATCACAGAACAGATAAAAAACTAAATATACTGATCTGTTCGTTAATGTATTGATAAATCTGAGAAACCGAATACCGCGACTTACCACCAGACGCAAAATGTTGAATCCTATGCGCATTCAAATTGAAAAGACGGACACAAAACTAAACTCCTGCCCGTGCATGCACGGGAACACAGAGCTGGCGTATGAAAGTCCAGGAACGAATGCTACGTTTTCATAATTTGGTACCGCTAAAATATTTTCGTATACTTAGTTAAGAATACAACACACAGAGATTCACGACCGTTACAGAATGTGATGACACCGAAAAGGTAAACCACCATTGGGGTCCACCATACATCACAAGACGCTCATAATCACAGAACATCTCATCACCGATAGGGTCTTTGGTTGTCCACTTCCGGGTTATTCAAGTGAGGGGCGGTGGGGTAGCCTAGTGGTTAAAGCGTTCGCTCGTCACGCTGAAGACCCGGGTTCGATTCCTCACTTGGGTACAATGTGTGAAGCCCATTTCTGGTGTCCCCACGCCGTGATATTGCTGGAATATTGCTAAAAGCGGCGTAAAAAGCGCTTTTATCGTGCATTGATGTGTGGAAAAGCGCTATACAAATGGAACTATTATTAAAACTAAACTCACTTACTCACTCACTATTCAAATTGGCGTTAAACCCAACAAATACGTTTGCCTGACTATAGGTTTCAAACTGACATTACTTTGAGTCACTTATTTGAATGTCCTCGATTGTCTCATGAAAGCCTTTACGACTCCCAACCACCCGGTGTCTGTATTCAATGAGGGCATCTCAATCTGGATTGGGTGAATGAGGGAAGTAAGCAGTATTTCAACAATGACCTGAACAGTGAACATACTTGTGTATACAGAGGAATACCAGCGACTGTCAACCCGGATACGACTCACGATGTCACGCACTCGTCAAAGTCACATGACCAGTTTCCGGTTCAGTGTTGACAATGAGTGAGTGAATGAGTTGGATTTTACGCCGCTTTTAGCAATATTCCAGCGGTATCACGGTTAGAAACACCGGAAATTGGCTTCACACATTGTACTTATGTGGGGAATCGAACCCGCGCCTACGGCGACAATGAAGGACATTTATGAAAGTAAACAAGATATGCAGGAATATTTTTAGCTTATTGGAAATTATATCATTAAAAGTGCGGAAGTATCTGTCTGACAGTTATCCGACATCATAGGTTTTGGTTTCTGGAAATGAGCAAATGCAAACGTCTAGCTAACATCAGCCAAAAATGCGTGTTTTTCTTGGTAATGAACTTTGACTGTCGTTCTATATATATATATACAGTCGAGCACTGTTGTATCGAACTCTGATAACTCGATATCTCGGTTGTCTCGATATAACATCTCAGTCCCGGCAAAATCCTTCATTATTTATCATTATTCAAGCTCTTTTAACTCGATACGGATGCCTCGATATTTCGGATATCTCGATATAATTTCATGGTCCCAACAAGCAAAATTACCCTTTTAACTCGATATTTGCAAAGAAACTCGATATTCACCTACCCTTTATGGGCAAGTATCCCTCTGAACTGAACCACACATACACATACGTATACTGTACTACTATTGTACTTACAATTACTTTAATGTATATGTAAGTTTTTCATCTTTGAAGAGCCTTTCTGTTGATAGTTAAACAATAGAAGAACCATTCCCTGCCTCGTCCTAGAGGACGTAGTGAATCTTTAGGCCTATATATCATATGATACAATAAGTGATTGTAAAATAGCAAACCTACAAATGTTCTTCTATTCCCATTGGTTTAAACACATGCGATACCTTTCAAAGTGATTCCTGGATTTTTGCTGAAATGCCTAAGCTATGCAGATCCATGGAGCTAGCAAGGACCATATCATAATATGTTCATGCAGCTTGTGTAATCCGTAGATATCAACAACGTAATTTCATGAACAGACGCTTGACGTGACATCAACTCATTCAAGTATCAGATGCACTGTGTTCAAATAACGTCATCAATGGAAACACATAGTATAAGGGTCATTCAATACATTGTTAGCATTGTTGATATTCCAGGGCAACACATGTAACAATCAGACCGATACCCTGCAACAAGTGTGCATTTAACATGACAAAATACATTCCACTTAAGTGTCATTAGAATAACAAACATTATCGGTATGATTTCAACTTACCTGCCATACATCCTGTGGCCAGAAACAACAGCGTCAATAATAAATTAATATCCATATTTTAATATGACAACTTGGATTCAGGCATGTGATTGTGGCTGTGGAACACGGATGTGAAGAACGCTGTGTGAAGCTTGGGTTGCCGTGACGTCATCACAGAGGCTCGCGCTGGGTCAGAAGACGATCATGTGCAGGGCAAGATGACATTTTGTAAATTCCAACTTTTTAAAAAAATGCTATAAAGAAGGTAAACATGTGAAGTGAACTATTGCTGTGTAGCAGCAGGAAACCACTGGTGCCACAGCACATTCCACTCCTAGAGCCACTGGGTGCTCCTCTTTCACACATGCTAAATCGGGGTACCGTCAAACCCAGTTGTAAGGAAACTATTGTTTTGTTGCAATGTGCTCCATCGAGTATTAAAAGATCACATGGACATCCGAATAATGTATATACATGGAATTTGTATGGCATATCGTACATGAGGTTCAGGTATTGTCAACACACCGTCTTCAGACCTCCTCCAGGTTGTAGAGCGTGGTCCCTACCGAAGGATGTTAAGATATGCTACTTGTTGTTACCCTGGCTGAGTTGGGTACAATGGTAATCTATGGCATAATGTCAGTGACCTGGCTCTTTGGCGACATGGCTTATGAAATACACATCCTAGGGAAAATATGTCATTCCTATTGGGCCACCCCGGGCACATTTTTCGATTGCATACACAATTTCCACCCATGTCTGTTATGAATGATCCTAGCCCCAATCACGAAAATGTATTTAAACGAAAATCTACCAGATAACACAAACGTGCAATTCATCAGAATAACTATTTGTAGATATCCTCGTGTCATCGTGGGGAAGTCTACATTGGATCTTCGGTGCGGACTTTGCGGCTTCAACTCCCTCAGGAGACACGTGTGTTTTTCATGAAATTGTTCTATCATCTCTTGAATTAAAGAGAAAAGAAGTTCCGCCTTTGCAAAGCGGTGTTTAACTAACAATTTACGTCATTTAAACACGGTCGAAGACAAAGGAGCCATGGCTTAGATCACCTTGTGACTGTGATGTCCTACTCGGCTTTGTGTGTACACACTGGACGTGATTCACGGAGAGGGAATGTTCTCACGGCAACAGTCGCAGTAACACGATCGACTCCATGCCTAAACAGTCAGCACCTTTCTGCAGTTATATAGGAATTTACGTCAGCGCCTGTCAGACTCATCTCTGAAGTAGGCCGTAGACCTTTACCCTTAAAGCATGGGTATGGGGCTGAAAGACAGAGAAAGAGTCGAACCTCCAAAGGTAGGACCCGCCCAAGTCGTGAGAAGAAACCAGTACCACCTACTTACCCAAACAGAAACATTTCACAACTACTTTTCATTTACACCAAACGGATTTGTTTAAGGGGGTAGTAGAAAGCTATTCTTTTGGACTGAAGACACATCTTTAAGCGGCATTTAGAAGCTGGTATGGTGAAGAGGAACATGCTTATGGATAGTCAGCTCCTTCATTGCAATAGATGCGACGTTTCGGTATAGATGAGAACACCGACACACAACGCAAGGACGATGCACGATGCACAAGCAGAACATATACATGAAGGATATTTGAGTTTATACAATTGAAGAGATTGATGTACAGTGTGGTGACATTACTGATGGCTGTTGTGATTACAGATAATGGCTATGAGTGTGAGTGAGTATGATTTTACGCCGCTTTTAGCAATATTCCAGCAATATTCCAGCAATATCACGGCGGGGACGCCAGAAATGGGCTTCACACATTGTACCCATTTGGGGAATCTAAACCCGAGTCTTCGGCGTGACGAGCGAACGTTTTAACCACTAGGCTACCCCACCGCCCCTAACGTCTATGAATCCAGATGGACAAAGGGTAGGGAAAGGTTATTCTTTATTGGCCACGAACTTCTGTATTGTATTTGACAGATTTTGTGACTTGTGGACTGCGTAGTCTCGTATTCCGGTGTCGTGGATCATTTCACTGGTCGACTGTTGGCTGCCGTGGTATGTTTGGTTTCTGTAGACAAGAAACAATCACTTAAATATTTTAACGGCGATCACCGTTGTGTTGCATTTACGCAGTATGGAATCATTTTTGAAACCAGCAGTAGCCATCTATCACTTTGGTTAAAGACAGAAATAGGTGCAGATATACAGAGATAAACAAGAGATCAACCATCATATGAAGAACCAGGGATCAGCCATGGCAGAACGGACCAGAGATCAGCCATGTCAGAACGGACCAGAGATCAGCCATGTCAGAACGGACTAGAGATCAGCCATGGCAGAACGGACCAGAGATCAGCCATGTCAGAACGAACTAGAGATCAGTCATATCAGAACGAACCAGAGATCAGCCATGTCAGAACGAAGCAGGGATTAGCCATGTCAGAACGGACCAGAAATCAGCCATAACAGGACGAACCAGAGATCATCCATGTCAGAACGGACCAGAGATCAGCCATGTCAGAACGGACCAGAGATCAGCCATGTCAGAACGGACCAGAGATCAGCCATGGCAGAACGGACCAGAGATCAGCCATGTCAGAACGAACTAGAGATCAGTCATATCAGAACGAACCAGAGATCAGCCATGTCAGAACGAAGCAGGGATTAGCCATGTCAGAACGGACCAGAAATCAGCCATAACAGGACGAACCAGAGATCAGCCATGTCAGAACGGACCAGAGATCAGCCATGTCAGAACGGACCAGAGATCAGCCATGTCAGAACGGACCAGAGATCAGCCATGGCAGAACGGACCAGAGATCAGCCATGTCAGAACGAACTAGAGATCAGTCATATCAGAACGAACCAGAGATCAGCCATGTCAGAACGAAGCAGGGATTAGCCATGTCAGAACGGACCAGAAATCAGCCATAACAGGACGAACCAGATGTCAGAACGGACCAGAGATCAGCCATGTCAGAACGGACCAGAGATCAGCCATGTCAGAACGGACCAGGGATCTGCCATGTCAGAACGGACCAGAGATCAGCCATGTCAGAACGGACCAGAGATCAGCCATGTCAGAACGGACCAGGGATCTGCCATGTCAGAACGGACCAGGGTCAGCCATGTCAGAACGGACCAGAGATCAGCCATGTCAGAACGAACCAGAGATCAGCCATGTCAGAACGGACCAGAGATCAGCCATGGCAGAACGGACCAGAGATCAGCCATGTCAGAACGAACTAGAGATCAGTCATATCAGAACGAACCAGAGATCAGCCATGTCAGAACGAAGCAGGGATTAGCCATGTCAGAACGGACCAGAAATCAGCCATAACAGGACGAACCAGAGATCATCCATGTCAGAACGGACCAGAGATCAGCCATGTCAGAACGGACCAGAGATCAGCCATGTCAGAACGGACCAGGGATCTGCCATGTCAGAACGGACCAGAGATCAGCCATGTCAGAACGGACCAGAGATCAGCCATGTCAGAACGGACAAGGGATCTGCCATGTCAGAACGGACCAGGGTCAGCCATGTCAGAACGGACCAGAGATCAGCCATGTCAGAACGAACCAGAGATCAGCCATGTCAGAACGAACCAGAGATCAGCCATGTCAGAACGGACCAGAGATCAGCCATGTCAGAACGAACCAGAGATCAGCCATGTCAGGACGAACCAGAGATCATCCATGTCAGAACGGAAGGGCCTCAGACCATGGAGGCAGGAGTGACCGTCTTTGTTCTTAAACAAATTATATTTGCATGAACATATGCACAGTGTATGTATTTATTTAAATAGTTCCGAGGTCACAAGGTCATATACTCCGAAGTTCCAGAACACTGGGTGAGGCTGAGTGAAAGCGCTTCATGGCACAGTGTCACGTGACATTAGAAGAACCAGGTCCTCGCAAATCGCGTGCAGTACTCAGACCACGCGCAGCTACAAGCTGAATCAAACATAGAAAATAGGAGACACATGCATGCACGTTATAATCTCATTCCGAGCCATTTATAGTTTCTTGTAAGAGCAGAACAACGATCGCCACGATATATAAACGCGCTAGGAATGTAAACAGTGTCAGATCAGAAAGCAGTTTCGTCACAAAGGTTGCCTTGTTACTGGTGCTGTTTATAACACGTGTTCCTCATGACGGACACTCCTTCTCATGTCTTTCCGACTTGACCATATAGTACGGAGAAAGTACCATATGATGCCATCTCGGCCATGTTTACTACATGGGTTGATGCCATCTCGGCCATGTTTACTACATGACTTGATGCCATCTCGGCCATGTTTACAACATGGCTTGATGCCATCTCGGCCATATTTACTACATGGGTTGATGCAATCTCGGCCATGTTTACTTCATGGGTTGATGCCATCTCGGCCATGTTTACTACATGGGTTGATGCCATCTCGGCCATGTTTATTACATGGGTTGATGCCATCTCGGGTTGATGCCATCTCGGCCATGTTTACAACATGGCCGATGTTTACTACAATGCTTGATGCCATCTCGGCCATGTTTACTACATGGGTTGATGCCATCTCGGCCATGTTTACTACATGGGTTGATGCCATCTCGACCATGTTTACTACATGGCTTGATGCCATCTCGGCCATGTTTACTACATGGGTTGATGCCATCTCGGCCATGTTTACTACATGGGTTGATGCCATCTCGGCCATGTTTACTACATGGGTTGATGCCATCTCGGCCATGTTTACTACATGGGTTGATGCCATCTCGGCCATGTTTACTACATGGGTTGATGCCATCTCGGCCATGTTTACTACATGGCTTGATGCCATCTCGGCCATGTTTACTACATGGCTTGATGCCATCTCGGCCATGTTTACTACATGAGTTGATGTCATCTCGACCATGTTTACTACATGGGTTGATGCCATCTCGGCCATGTTTACTACATGGCTTGATGCCATCTCGGCCATGTTTACTACATGGGTTGATGCCATCTCGGCCATGTTTACTACATGGGTTGATGCCATCTCGGCCATGTTTACTACATGGCTTGATGCCATCTCGGCCATGTTTACTACATGGGTTGATGCCATCTCGGCCATGTTTACTACATGGGTTGATGCCATCTCGGCCATGTTTACTACATGGCTTGATGCCATCTCGGCCATGTTTACTACATGGGTTGATGCCATCTCGGCCATGTTTACTACATGGGTCGA